GGCTGGGTCAGGGCTGAGAAGGGGGGTGGCTGGGGCAGTCGCTGGCTGTTTGACTGGTGGGGTGCGTGCAAGTGTCCCCACCCTGCACAGCGATTGCCCTGATGTGTCCCAGGCCCTGGTGCGGTGGGGACAGGGCGGGAGGCAGCAGGGCCGGGACACGGCGCTGGGGAAGCAGCCCCTGCGAGCACAGCGCTTTGCCCCCACCCCAGGGCGCCTGCAGGGGCAGTGCTGTGGGGGTGGGAACAAGCAGCTCTGGAGGGCAAGCACAGCCGTGCTCTGTGGTGGCCTTTCCCTCCGTTCCCTCCCTCCCTCGCCTCCTGCAGCCGACACCTGCCCTTCACTGAGAGGTTTAACCCTGCCACGCCAGCCTTGAGCTCCCGAGTTCAAGCCTGTGCTTTGCCACTGAGCTGCCGGGGCCTTTGGGGGAATCATTTAATCTCCCCGCTTCAAATTCCTCTGAGTTGGAGAATCCCTCTGTGCTGTCTAGCACTGCCTTGTCCACGGCACTCTACATGTTGGATTAAGCGTGGATTAGTTCAGCCTCCAAACCAGCTGCTCCCCTGAAGCCAGGTTTGTTTCCCTGGAGAGAAGTGTCTTGCTCCAGATGTTGGAGGGAGTGAGTGGCAAAGCTGGAAATAGGACTGACTCCTGAGCCCTTCCTGACATGCCTGGATTCATTTCCAGGAATTGGAATGGATGGGCAAAGGCACACCAGGCTCTTTTGAGATACTGTTGTGCCAACAACCGTCTGCCACCACCCGCCTTGGCCAGCAGTGGGAAGGGGGGACATGTCAGCAGGGTGTGTTAGCCCAGCTTGGGAGAGGCACCTGCTTGTCTCAGCAGTGAGAGCCCATGGGGCAGCGGGAAGCCCAGCACTGTCCTGCCCCACCGTGTCCACCACTTCTCCCTGCCCTGACTGCCTGTCCACCCTCTCCCAGGGGCTGCGGTGCCCATTGCTGACCATTAAAGCGGAGCTGGGATCCCCCCAGTGCTGTTTGAGGCTGACCCCGGTAGGGACTTTACTCGGGGCCTTCGGGAGGTGAAAGGTGAGCCGAACTCGGAACAAATTAGTTCCAAGCAGAAGTTCAGCCAGTTACTCCAGATTGGATCCTTTGATTTCCGCAACTCAGACTCCACTCAGTGATCTGTAATGAGTGACTCTCAGAAATCCTCACATTGCAGCACTTTGTTCCTGAGCTCACAAGTCAGCCCATTAATGGGTAAAGGAAAGGACCTTGAGTCTAAGAAGTCTCGGGTTCAGAGTCAGAATTATTTGACTTTTAAGCTTCCTTTATCTGAACTCCTGCTGACTTCTTGTTTTCTGAGCCTGTTTGAAAGCTAGAAGTTACATTGTTAAGATCAAACGTTCTCTCTTTCCAGATGGAGTTACAATATCTGTCTTTTATATATATATATTTTAATATATATAGTGTATATATACCAGGGTGTATATATATTCCTCTCTTTTTTTTAATCGTTCTTTCCATTAAAAGAAACTAGACTTGTAAGCTCTTGTAAATTATAATGTAAAACATTTTTTTTAACCAGACAGTTCCCAATTTTGCCCGAGGCAACTGGAATAGCTGTGCCACGGAAGGCAATAGGAAGGTGATTAATATGAATTTGTGACATATTTGAAAGATGGGTCTTTTGCCATATAAAGATTATCAAACACATGTGCTCTTCCCCATTAATTCCGCAGCCCTCCCAGGAAAGCCACAAAGCCCAGCTCCTTTGTTTCCAGGGTGGGTTTTTGTTTTTTTAAATGTACCTTTCGGTCCCCTTGATTACCCTGTATTTGATTTTTATAGGGCATCTGCTCACTCTGCTGTGTGGGTTCTCTGGCCCTTTTATTTCCCTGTTAATCGGATCCCGCGAAGGCAGCGGTGCCAGGGCCTCTGACGAAATCCGTGTGTGTGTTGTATTTAACTTTTAGCCGTGCAAATTCCATGCTCTGTTTGCCGTCTGCCCGGCGGGAACTGGGGGCTGCTTCCCGCCGGGGGAGGCAGCGGGGCCTCCCACGACGTGCGTGCGCTGCCGCCGGGAGCAAACGCGCGCGGGACTGGCAGGGATGGAGGGGCAGGGATGGGCAGGCCTGGCTCGTTCCAGAGAGCGGGTCGGTGCTTGTCCATCCCTGTGTGTTTGCCAGCTGGGCCAGTGGCTCTGCAGGCTTTGGGGACCAGGGATGGCTGCAGGGCTGGGCATGTCAGCGTCCTGACCAGAGTCACTGTGCTGGTGCAGTGCTGGCCTCTGCCGCTGCCTGCGCTGCCTTGTGCAAAGCGGGCTCGGTGTCGTGCCGTGCCGTGGGTGCCCCAGGGCCTTGGCACCTTGTGTCCCCAGGCACGGGGTACCTGGTGCTTCTGCCACACCTGGGGCACCCCCCGTGCAGAGCCCAGCTTTGGGTGCTGACCCTGCCGCGGTCGTGGCCAGAGCTGTGCAGTGCCTGGCACAGTCTCACTGCGGTGTAGTGACGTGCCCAGGGAGCCGTGCCCAGGGTGCCATCTCGGTTGGTACGAATGGCCCCAGCTTTCCTACGCCAGGTTCAGCCCTGAAACCTCTGAAGGGGAGGCTCCCCGGAGCTCAGCAGCTACACTCGGGCATATCAGTGCACACTGCCCAGAGAAGTGGTGAGTTTTTTTGAGGAGCTGTGGTTCTCTGACAGCCTCCTGCTCTGCTCCTGGGCCACATCACGGCAGGTCTGGATGGCAGAGGAGGGTTTCCAGGCTGTGCCCTGTCCCATGCTGAGCATCCCTGGCACAGCTGGCCATAGCACAGAGCTGTTCTGCCCCTCTCTCAAGGCCCTGCTCCTTAGGGCTTGGTGCATGCCAGGTTGCTTGGTCAGGGCTCCTGGGGCCACTGAGTCATTGCAGAGCTCAGCCCCTTTCTCCTGACCGTTCCAAAGCCCTGTCCATGTCAGGGAGGTGACATCCCCTGTGAGGGTGCCATCCCAGCCCCTTGTCACTGCTGGATTAGCTCTGCCCCTCCCATCGTGCAAGGACCTGGCTCTCCCTTCAACCAGGCAGTGTGGTCCATTGGGCTCTGCCCGGAGTGCTGCTGGAGCCCTGGAGTTGGCTCTGGGACAGGTGGGTGTGTTTGCACGACCCAGGCACTCCCACCTGCTGACCCTGGTTTTTCTTTCGTTTTCTGTCTCCCTCTTGGAGCAGAGAAAGTGAAGGGAGTTGGCCTCCAGCACCTCCTCTGTCAAGAAGATGAAGAAGCCATGAGCCCCCTGTGCAGGGTGAGGAGGAGGGGTGGAGCTGTGTGCAGGGGCAGTGCCGTCTATCCCAGAGCCGCCAGGGACAGCTGCCTGCAGCCGTGGGGCAGGACAGGGGCCTTGCTGGGGCAAACACTGCAGTGCTCCAGAGAAAAATGGGAACCATCCCTTGCCCAGCACCAGGGCCCCAAACCCATCTGCCCTCAGAGTGGTGTGACCTCTGGGCACCTGCAGCAGGTGCTCAAGGGTGGCCACAGGGCTGTGCAGGGCTCTGCCCAAGGCCACCCATGGCTGCCCTGTGGCCACTAGTGCAGGCTGTGGTTTATGACTTTTTTTTTACATGCTCTGCAAATACAGAACCCATCACTTGTACTAGCGCAGAGCCATCCTTGGCCCTGGTGAGCCTGCACGGAGCTATCTCACCTCCACCTCAGGCAGGCTGAGCACTGCTAACCCTATTGGGAGCCCTGGCTGCCGGTGGCTGTCCCTGAGCACATCTGCCTCAGTCACCAGGTGACACCTGGAGTTGCTGCAGCAGCCCCTGCTGCCTTTGGGGCTGCCAGGTGCTGCTCCAGGCTGCTGCTGCGCTGCCCACACCGGGCTGGGGAGCTCCGTCCAAGCATCCCACATGCCCAACCCCTGTGCAGCTGCTCACCTCCGTCAGCTGTTGCGTGCCTGACACCTACACCTTGCTTGGGTGAGGGGATGCCCCTGCTGGAAACACTCCTGTTGTCCCCCCACTGTCAGGACAGTTCCTCCTACTGCTGCTCTGCCCAAGGCTTCAGTGTGGTGAGAGGTGCCCCTGGTCACTGCACCTCATGTTTTGCAGGGCTTTGGAGGGGGTGAGGCATCGTGGTGGGAGCCCTGGCACAGGCAACCCTGGCTGTGTGCCCCACTCTGGGCTACTGCCCTCCTGCCCACCCCGTGTCCCCTCCACCTGCCTTTCAAGTGTGACTGGCCATCGATCCACTGTGACAATGTCCTCTGAGTCACATTCTTGCCTGCAGGAGTAAAGGGCAAAGGCCAAGTTCTTAGTTTTCATAAAAAACTAATTAGACAACTCCATCGAAAATGGGTCAATAAAGCTGATCGGGGCTGCAGAGGGAGCCAGTACAGCCCCTGTGACCTTTGCATGGAACAAGTGGCTGCCCCTTCCCTCTGGGAGCTGCCCACTTGGTGCCAGCTGGATACCTGTGACCCTATCACCTGGTGGCACCCTGGCTCCGGGCAGGTCTCTTGGGCACCTGGAAATGGTGGCAGTTCTTGCCCAGCTGGGTGTGGCTCTGGCACTCCCCGGTGCTGCACTTGTGCTGGCTCTGCTGGCTGGGGCAGAGCGGGTGCCCCAGTGCCCAGGGCAGAGCCATGCTGGCCCCAGCCTGTAGCCGAGATGCTCCAAGTGCAGCAGTGGCTGTGTGGGAACGGTTTGCCAGGCTGCAGGGTGCAGGGACAGATGCCAGTGGGACGTGGTAGCGGCTGTCACGTTGCACCAGGTGTGCACCCGTGGGTATGGCCCAGCTGTGACAGGCTGGTGGCAGCCTCAGGGCAGAGCTACCTTGGGGCACGAGCAAAGCCAAGGTGGTGGTGGGGCCGCTGCCCACCCACAGTGCCCATGCTGGAGAGCAGGGCAGTGTTCCCAGCAGCCAGGAACCTCAACCGCCCTTTCACAGTCCAAGACTTTGCCTTTCCGGGGAGCATGGACGTGCCATACCCCAGGGAGCACCCTGCTCCCACCTACCCAGGTGGCACACCCCTGCCTCTGCCCCCCACACAAACTCACACATGCATGGGCACAGCCCGGGCTCCTTTACCCCCAAACTTTATTCATGTGGCACATTTACAGCAAGGATTGGAATAACTAGACAATGAAAATGCTGGGGTTGCATTATCGGTTGGTTTAACTGGAACACCACACACCATGCAGTCATGTACCGCCAAGTTCAGTGCCTGTATTGCCCTTCTGGCTGCCGTCACCGGCTTCGCTCCAGGCCATGCACGCACGGGCCCGGGGCTGCAGCCTCCCTGCAGGTCAGCGCCCGGACGAGGGCTCCATTCAGCAGGGCCCCGGGACTGGGTGACTCCGAGGGGACGTGCGCCCTCAGCCCGCCCCGTGGCTGCCCCCCAACCGCCCCGGCCGGCCGGGAGCCCACCCAGCCGGAGGGGATGTGCTCGGCAACTCTCTCAGGCAACAAGCCAGCTGCTGCTGAGCGTCCGCAGGGACCTGCGAGGGGCACAGCACGTGGGCACGTGGGGGGGCCGAGCCTCAGCTCGGGAACCGAGGGAGGTCGGGGGGGGGGAGCGCGCTCAGGGCCGGGGGCGATTTGCAGATTTGCAGCTGCCCCGCTCGGGTGCCCCCGGGCCGGGGTCCAGCGCGGGCACGTCCACCGCCGGCAACGGACGCGGTGCTGCGGCGCCTGTCCCCGATGGAGCTGGAACGGATGGGCGGGGACGGGACAGGGCCGGGCATCCCACCCAGCCCCGCAAGAGGCACGAGCAGACGGAACGGGGGCTGGACGGGGCTCCATGCGGACACTGTCACCTCCCTCCTGCCGCCCGCCCGCCCGCCCGCCGGGCCCCCGCCCCACTGAAGGGAGCCCTCTGGGGCCCCGCAGCCCGCGGTGGGGCTGCCAGGGGCTCTGCAGCGGAGAATACAGGCACTTCACCTTGAACATAAAGAGACGGATCGCGTTTGTCACATACAGGAGTCAGAGAGGGGTTAGTGTTGACTCAAAAAGGGGAAAAGGCGCTCAGGGGAGAGGCGGGGGGGCTGGCGGAGAGGGCGAGGGGCCGTCTCGACACGCTGAGCCTCCGTGAGCGCTGCCCGAGTGCAGGCACACACCGGCCTTGCTGCAGCAGCCATCGAGGCCTTAAAACATAAAACCAGAGAAGAGAAAGAAGAAGGAAAGGTGGGTACGGCCCATGCCGGGGTGGAGATGGGGGATGCTCTGGCTACGGGGCGGGAGAGGGAGGACGGGGTGGGATATGGAGGGAGGGACGGAAATCAGGAGCCAAAGAAAAAGAACAAACTACGAGTCTAAAATGTGGTGCAAGCGCCCTACGCGGCTGTCCGCTAGCATGGCATAATGTCCGGAGCAGCCCAGAGAGGGAGTCACATCAGGTCTACACAGATTTGCCTTCCCATATATACAACCTCTACTGGAGTTAACAGCTGAAATTGAGATTTTTTTTGTGTCGGTTCCTCTGGCCTCGGTTGCCGTTTTTTTTTTAATGCTGGAGCCCGTCCTCCCCGCCTCGCCGGCGCCGGGCGCATGCAGCCCTTGCCTGGCTTGCCTTGGGGATCAAAAGGGTTTGGAGGTCTGCTTGAAGATGAAGCCTCTATGGGCCAGTGTCTTCATGATGTTGGCGATGTTCTTACAGTCATCTGCAGAGAGAGCACAACAGATAGTGGGTTAGAGACACAATACAAGCAGGAGTTGTTTGATCAATCCCTGAATCCCACGCTGGGGCTGTGTCCCCACCTGTCCAGGCACTCTGTCCCAAGGACCTCGCAGTGATGTGGGGTGATTGCAAAGTCTCCAGCTCACCAGCACTGGCCACCTGCATCCCGATACAACCCATCCTGAGATGGATCCATGTCCAGGACCTGGAGGTCAGGGTCATCCCTGTTCCCACCAGAGCCAGCCCTTGGTGCTGTCCCATGCCCACCGACCACAGGGTGACAAGTGGCAGGTGGTTGGGACAACCAAGCCACAGACACTCCCAGTGTCAGGCCGCGGCAAAGCAGCAAGTCGGGAAGGGGGAAGGCTCTGGCTGGTGTTATTTACCTGGGACTAAACTCAGGCACCGTTTGCTAAAATAGAAGCCGGGCTTAAATTGATTCCTAGTGTCTATATTTCATGTTGAAAATTGGCTTGTAAATCCATGTTTTGATCTATGAGGGCCGTCTCCTTAAGAAAAAGCAAGAGTAAATGTGTAATTTCTCCCTTGACAGCACACGGCGCAGAGGCGATCCTTCTTCCCGCTCCCCTCCGTTTCGGGACAGCTCCACTCGTTCCGATTACCACTCTTTCTTCCTCGCCCCACGCCTTGATGTCTCCATTTCATTACCGCCCGCCCATTTATCAAGCTGTTACCGTAAGGGTGACTTTGCCCACTTGCGTGTGGCAGCGAGGCCCGGCTGACACAGGGAGAGGGTGCCCCAGCAAGGGGGGGCACAGGCAAGGCCCCCCTCTCCCCGCCACTGCTGGATGGATGTTGTGGTGGAGGAAAGGCTGCATCATTACTGATGTGTAAATGATAAAGAAGCCTCCACATCCATCTCCCAACTGTAAATCCAGGGAGTGCTTTATAATCAAGCTACAGCAATAATAATGTGAAATTAGGTCTCTCTATCAACGGGAGGAGGCCTTTTAATCACGGCTTAAAGGGTGCAAACGCTGTTTATCATAATTGAACTGTATCCGGGCTAATTGTGGCCATATTTCACTGTCTAGGAGACAGCAGGCTGCCTGCTGACAGTGCCGTGTGCTGGATTGAGGGCCCCCCGCAGCTGGGCAGCTCTACCCTGCTGCCAGGAGCCTGCCTGCAGGGACAGGGCTGCCCGGCCTCCTGGACACTCCCTGACAGACCAGCAGTGCTGCCCTGCCCCGCTGCACCCAGTGACACACTGGCAAAGCCATCACCTGTCCCCCAGTGTCACTTGGAGGTGCAGGGGCTTTCCCCACACACAGCTCCCCAAGAGGCTGCCCTGAGCTGCCGGGGACCGTCCTGGCTGATGGTTGGCAGTGTTATAAGTAATGTCCCCATCAGAGCCACGTGCCTCCCAAGTGTCCCCTCAGCCCCTCTCATGGCACTCCTTTCCCTTGCTGGTGTGCCAGGCAGGGGACAGGAGCTGGGCATGAGGACAGCCCGATGAAGAAGGGGTGTCCCCAGCCCATTGATGGGCACAGGGGCAGAGATGAGCCTGTCTCTCTGTCCCTTTGTCCTCTCCGCTGCCCAAGGTGGCACCTATGGCTGCAGAAGGGCCCTGGAGGTGACAGGTGTCCTGCCCGGCCAAGCCACAGCACCAGCTCCCACTGGTGTCACTTGTTCCTGCTCAAGGGAGACCCTCACTGTCCTTAGGACCCTCTGCTCCATCCATCTCGCCCCCCAGACAGCTGAACCCCTTGGAGCCAGCTGCCAGCGGGACCTAACAGGGTAACAGTGGCTTAAAAGCTGAGGAAACCGAGGCAGGGGGAGGGCAACTGTCCCACCCAGCCAGCCCTCGCCTGGTAGCCCCCAAAACATAACAGAAAAGTAAATCCTGGCCTGTGAGCTGTGGGAGGTGTGTGGCAAGTGAGCAGTTTGGATGTGAAAGCACAAGCCCAGATACCCCACTGCCCATCTCCCTGCCTGCAGCATCACCCCAAGCTGGAGTGGGCTGCCAGGGCTGGACTATTGCTCCATATTGGTGGAGGGGGAGCTGCACAGAGACCTGGGGAGCCGCCAGACTGGCAGCAAGACCCCACAGCACCTCCTGGGACTTCCGAGCTGGTCCCTGGGGAGACCCTCTGGGACTGCTGGCTGCTTCCTGAACCCCATCAGCTGCCTCCCCGAAGCCCCAGTGTGCTCTGGCGCTGGGTGCCAGTGGGACCCTGTTGGGTCAGTGCCAGCCACAGGGCTGTGCCAGCAGCACCGTCCTCGCCGTCCCAAACCATGCCACGGCCCCTGGCAGCGGGTGTGCCAAGCTCGTCATAAGTCATTTAGTGAGACTCCTTCCAAATCAGTGCTAAGGTAAACACGCTTATTATAATTATCCATGTAAAAAAAAATCAACAACAGCAGAACAACTTTCTAATATGCAATTACAGCCATCTATTGATTTTACAATGTAATCCGCTCCGATTGATTTAATAACACAATTATAGGCTGGCTCTCGGGATATTAGAGTGGGAGATTTTCATAAACTCCAAAGCAAAAAACTAAGCGGCTTTTAAAACAACACAGTCAGATGGCTGTTTGGGGAATTATTAGCAATATGAAATCCTCTAAATCTGGCCGTCGTTACCTTGTGAAAGGAATTTCTATTACAAAAATGGCAATTGACAGCCTAAGAGAGCGCAAACGGGATTGCTCTGCTGCTTTTCAGTGCTTAATCCATCGCAAAGGTGACCACCGGGTGGGGGATGAGTGGAGTCCGAGGGAGGCGGGAGGGCACAGGCAGCCCTGCCCACCCTGTGGCCCCCCACCAAACCCAGCTCTCCCCAGGGGACACGTGGCTGTGGCAACGTTGCCCCAGCACCCAGACTGGCACCCACCAGCCCTGTCCCAACTGGGTGACCCTGCCTGGGGCCACAGAGGCTGGCAGGGTGCAGAACACCCTCCTGATCCCCATCCCGGCACACCTGGCATGCCCCAGTCCCAGACACCTCCGGGGGCCACAGGGGTGCCCCCCCGTGTCCCAAGCCTGAGCAGGGGGCTGGGGTGAAGGTGGTCCCACGCTGGCGGCCGGCGCAGCTCTGCGGGTGCCGCACAGGCTCGCGGTGCACGCGCGCCCCCGCTCTCCTCCCACTCGCTCCCTCAATGTATTCCCGACTTTATGGGCACATTTTTCTTGTCAAGCTGACAGGGTTGCTAAGTGGATTTCTCCCTGATATGCGGACGGATTATCACATTACTCCAATGTCCTACACAAACATATTACTTTATATTCAATAGCCCTAATGAATATAAACTGCTTTTTCTTTTTTTGGGGTGGGGGGTAATCTATAGATTTTTAATGAGGGCACTATTAACTCCCTCCTCTTTAAAACAGACTTAGGTGCAGCCTCTGAGTAGAAAATCAATGGTGTTATTGTAGGAATATTGTATATTGATATTGTAATAATAAGATGCAATTGATTTAGGGGTGTTGTGCGGTGTGTGTGAAAGGGGTCAGCAGGGGGTTATCCTGCCTCCTGTAAACGGAGTGGTGGCTCTGCCCTGCCTCCCTGCCCCTCACCTTGCTGTGCCACTTCCGAGCATCGTCCCATGTCCCAGGATGGCCGGGGCCGAGTTTGCCCTGAGGTGCTGGGCCCTGGCTACCTCTGGGACCCTCCTTTGGCCCAGCTGCCAGTGTAGCGTGGGGTGACGCGACACCTCAGCCTCTCCCTGTCCTGGCAGGCTTAGCCCACCAGGTTTTAAACCTCAGCAACATCACACTGTCTCGAAACCTGTGTCCTGGCCCTCTCCACAGCTTGTCAAGCTCTTGCTGCAGTGACAGACAAGGACAGCGGCACGTGCACGTGCATGGGGCAGTGGGATGCTCTCTTAGTTAGGGCTGAAGTTTGCCACTGTTCAGCATCGCTGGCTGCCCTTGTCCTTGGAGGGGGCAGACATTCCCATCACATTTCTCTGCCAGGACAGAGGCAGACACGCCTCAGCCTGTGCTGCTGCACTGCTTGCCCAGCGAGTGCTCTCCCTCCAGCCACTTCATAGCAGCACTCCTGTGAACCCAGGATGAGCTCAAGGATTCCTTCAGCAAGAGTCTGTGCTGTGGGATTGAACTGCCAGGAGCAGTGATGCTCACTCTGGGGAGAGCATCCTCTCCACACCCACTGGGAAGGAAGGCAGGGGCTGCCACCCCATGCATGACAACCTGCTGGCATTTCTCCCACCTCTCCCACGGGACCAAACCACCCAGACACCTCCACCACGGAGGCTCAGAGGACTGAGCGCTGCCACAGCCGCCGTGCGCTCGGCCGAGACGCTCACGGTGCAAGGAGGGAGCTTTTCCATCCCGGCAGCTGCCCCGGCGGGCTGAGGGTGATCGGGGGACTGCAGGGCCCCCCCAAATGGGCTCATTTGGTGGCAGCCCCACTGCACCTGTGCTGTGGCCGGGAAGACGGATCACCCCCGGCCCAAGCTGAGCAGGTCCATATTTAAACTGTCCCCATGCTTTATGGGCTGTACAAGAACTGATGCTCAGGCGCCGAGGGGCCATTTGTCAATGTTCTAATGGCAGATTACTGTTAATGAATAATATCACCGCTGCCTTTGTATAACAGCTCCCCTGCAAAGCGGAAACAGGGCCGCCAGGCCACCGCCGCCCTTCACCTCCCCGCTCCCGACCCCGGGTGACAGCAGGTGGCTTTGTGACCAGCGGAAGCCGTACGGACCCCCCGCAGCCCAGCACTGCTGCTGCTGCCCCCAGCAATCACGAAAGGGAGTGCTGGGTGTTGTGTCCCCACAGTGGGATGTGCTGCTCCCTGTGAGCGGGAATGTCCCCAGCAGGGGACAGCCATCAGGGGCAAGAAGTGACAGTGTCTTCCCAGCATGCGGAGCCAGGCTCCTCACCCTGCCCATACTGGAGCCAGGAGGGAGTTGTGTCTGATCTAAATCTATCCCCACCAGGATACCAGACATAGTGGTGACAAGTATGTGTCAGAGCCCAGAGCTCCCAGC